ACTACAATAGGAAACTCCACCAACAGAGCCATGCTCAAAGACACTGCCCTTTTGCAAGTGATTTATATTTGAGTCTAAAACAAAACATCTGGAGAAACCACATCACTTTTGTCATTAACATACCAATCACCCACTTGTTCCAATCATGATGGGCAGGAGGATTCTACACTTAGGTAAGTAAAAGGTGTTAACATAAGCCTCATGCCTACAGTGCCCCCCTCCCCTCCCCTCCCCTCCCCTCTGGGTGTCTGCGGCTGCATTCCAATGGGTTCCTTAAAAGAGTTGTCTGTGACAGCTTGGTCAGGAGACCAAAAGGACAGGGATGAGAGTTCTGTCTCTCCATGTGATTCCTCCGTGTGTGTGTTCCCCATCCACCGCCCTCACCAGACACCAGACCAAGGGCGTGGCCTGATTTGGGACTGTGAATCTCCAACTGTGAGCGGAAGTAAGCCTCTTCCTTTTCCAGTGAGCTCCTCTCAGATATCGGAGTTATAGCAACAGAAAGCTGACTACTGCACTACCCGAACAGGCAACCAGTGCCCCCTGCCACATTTCCAGGGATCACAAATGCAGTGCAAGCTCATTTCCCATCTGTAGTATGGAAATGCGTCTAAATTTGGCTAAATTCCTTTAGGGCCTATGACAAGTGTGTATTCTCAGAGGGAGGGCCCAAAATGGGAAGACCCCACGTGATTCCAACAGCAATACAAAGAACATAGACCAGAACAAACCCTTGTAGCCCTGTCTCTCCATCTTCCACTCTCATCATACTATCACACTGCCACCTGACGTCCCGGGGAGGGGAAGAGGGGACACTGTAACTGGTCAGCTGGCAGCGGAGCAGTAGGCCTTTCCTGTGGAGTACAGGGCGCACAGGCCTGAGCTCTGGCCCTCCGCCGTCTCCTTGCTTCAGTCTTGCTCTCCTAGTCTAAACCTGTCACTACAGCCAGATGGGCAGTCTCCAAACAGAAGTCAGACCCTAAGACTTCGCTGCTTAGATCCTCCTGTGGCCCCCATCTCATTCAGAAAAGTAGCCAACGTCCTTTAAATTAGCCCAGGAGATGTGTAAGAGCTGCCCCACCCCAGTCTCCCCTGGTTACTCTCACTTCTCCACTCCAAAAAGGTTGCTTCCTGTGTTCTGCATTCACACCAGGGACACTGCCACCCCAGGGCCTTTGTACCTACTGTTCCCACTACCTAAACTCTCCTGCTCACTCCCTTACCTACTGCAGCTTTGCTCAACTGCCCCTTTCTCACTGATGTCTATTTAAAATGGCAGCCTTCAGTGCTTACTGGCTAACACACACCTTTGCTTTGAGCACCCCCACCCTTGCCCCACCAGTCCACAGTCCACACAGCAGCCGCAAAAGAGGGGGTTACAAATCCACATCAGCTCAAGACCTGTAATGGCTGCCGCCTGACTCAAAGGAAACCACGGACAAGCACCACCGTCCCCTCATCGCCTGCCACGTCCACCTCACACGGCCCACTCTGACCACAGCGGTCTTCCTGCACGTGCCGGCTCCCCCCTCCGCCGCACGGTGTCCTCGGAGTGCAAGCAGGGCCTGTCCCAGCCACCCTCTCTAAAAGCAGCTCGCCTGTCGTCCCCTTGCCCACGCTGCTGCACTCTCTCCCAAGACCCAGCGTGAGCGTGGCACGTGGTCATGCTGGTCTCCTTGCCAAGCGCGGAGCCCTGCCACAGCAGGCCTGTCTGCCTAGCTCACTGGCCATGTCCCTAGTCCCCAGGAAACTGTCAGGAGGGAAAAGGGTCACAGACTACCCCACAGGGTGGCGGCACCCATTGGGGAGGCCATCTCAGCCCCTCTTCCCCAGATGTGACATCACCAACCCAGACACAGCCAGCAGGGGAGCGGAGGAAACAGAATAGGCCCAAGTGGGGACAGCGGCTAAGGAAAAGCCGCCACAGCTGCCTGGGAGGCTCATGGCCCTCCTGGGACCAAGATGAGGGGATAAGGGGCACTTGGCTTTTTTCAGCCAATCCAGGGCGCTATGGATGTCTCGAGCCAGATCCCAAGGACAAGCTATCCAGCTACTGTCAGGAGGACTAACAAAGAATTCCTTCGATCCACCTGAGGTCCTTCTCACCATGCAGGCACGTGGCCTGTGATGTGAGTAAAAGAACTCAAACCCAGCTGGGCAAGCTCGACCACAGTGACGCAGCTCCTGGAGGCAGGGAGGGGCATGGGAACCCACCGGGCGCTGCTTCCACCTCCTCCCTCCCACGGCAAGGCCTGCCATGCTCCTGGGACGGCTTCGTTGGTGCGGGCACAACGTTCACCTCCCCTCAGGCACCGCGAGGAGGAGGAGGTGCCGGTATCCCTCAGAGGCGAGGCCTTCCTCGTGCCGGGCACTGCTGAGAGGCCACAGAAGGCAGCAGAGGGCCAGCAGAGCCGGGCTATCTCTGGCGGCCCAGCCTGCTAGTGGCACTGAAAACCGCCACGTGGTAAAAGTGAGCCCGTGCTAGGCATCTCGGGGGTGGCTGAGGGGAGATTTGGCCCACCCTGCTTCCACGGCTTTCTCTGGACCTGCCCCTGAATCCGCTGTAGTGGACACCTGGCCAGGTGACTGGATCCAGAGCGCTCACCTGACCCAAACCTGCATCTAGCAGATGCTCTGAGCCAGCAACCTAAGGGACACCCTCACACGGAGCCCAGGAAGCCGCGACAGGGAAGGGCGGGGCCGGGGATGCAGGGAACTTCTACTATCCACCAGCTAAGGGAAGCAAAAAAAATGCAGACTGGAACGGACGCCTGAGGCAGCCAGGTAGAGGAAGGAGAGGAAACCCAGGGCCATCATGGGAATTCCTTCTCCTTTCCTGGGGCCTCCTGCTTTTGAAGACACCTCCATCCCCCAGCCCTGCCTCTTGATGACAAGTCTCCTTGTGCGCATGTTCCCTCCAGATGGAGTCTGTTCCCAGTAACTTAAAAGGCTTAACTGCTACAGATGAGATCTCACAGCACCTACCCACCCCTCCACGCCCCCACAGGCCTCAAACAGGTTCTTCCCCGCAGGCTGGAGGCAAAGACCCCGTGGGAACAAAGGTGCCCTCCCGCCCTCCCGGCAGCTGGAGAACCATCCACTCTGAACAGGAGGCAGAGCTGGTTTCTCACTAAGGCATCTTTGTAGAGCTTATCAAAATGAAATAATAAAGCAAGCTTCTGTGCTAATGTACACCAGGGTCCTGCTGCTGTTCTGGGAACACGTGGGTGGGTGCCACCCGCGAGAAAAACACAGACTTGAAGAGGCACTGGGAGCCCTGATGGTGTTCCAGGCCCACCGCCATCTGTGCTCACAGGCGAAGGCTCCAGACACGCTGGGCGGGACGCTTGACCAAGCGCGGGCACTGTGAAATGTGGACCTGCTTCCATGCTGCTGTCTGGCCCTGCCAGCAGCCCCAGAACATGGACGAGGCAAGGGCTGGGGTACAGACTGCGGTCCCAGTGACGGGACTTAGAAACTGGGATTGGCGAGGGGTGCCCCAGGCACCTCTCCACCCTGTAAGCCCGTCGTCACCCCAGTCAGATGCAGGGACAGAATGAAGTACTCACTCACTGCAAATAAAAGGCGACAGCTCCTCCTCTCCCCCCACTCATCACAATCGACCAAACCAAAGCCAAGGGTGTTCCCCAGCTAGACCTCCCAGCACCAGACTCAGGTGCCACAAAGCAGCTACTTCCATGTCAGGATCACTTTGCAGTTTCTTTCAGAGACCTGAGTCTGCTCCCTGCAGTACCCCTCCCGCGGCAGCCTTTCCAAGGCCCCAGTGCACTCCTTCCACCTCCTGCTCCCAGTTCTACCCAAGGGGACGGGCCAGACACAAAGGGGCACAGGCAGGGGGCTGTGAGCTGCGGGCTGCCTTTTGTCCCTTCCCAATGAGAAGTCCTTTCCCTCAAGAGCCGCTCCCCCTACCTCCCCCAAGATCTGAGAGGCCGAGCGGTCCCGGAGCGCCTTGGTCAGAACCCACCAGTCTGCTAGCCTGAAGGAGAAGGGGCGGGCAGGGGGCAGGAGAACCGGAGGAAAGAGGAGGAACTGAGGAAGGGGGGGGGTTATTCAGATCAACAACTGCGCGACACCAATCGCTCCCCTCCTCCCCCAGCCAACAGCCATGGAGTCTGCGCCAGCTCGGCCCCCTCCACCCCTCCACCACCCAAGAGGTCCTTGTAAGGGCATGGAGTAAAAAGATGGTCTCAAGACACACAATTCTGATGTCTGAATCCCGGCTGGGGTCTCCCAGTCCCCCCTGGCTTACACAGCTCTGCAGTGCCCGCCCTGAGCCTCCAGGTTCCTTATCTTTAAAATGGGGATGAGAAAATCACGACTCGCGGAAGGGCGGAACAGCTTCTCACGAGCCTGAGCCACCACTGCCACTGAGGCTCGGATTTGTAAATGGCTCGAAAGGAAGAGGAACAAAACCGTGCACATCTGTCTCCCCCAAGGCCAGGCTGAGCCGAAGAAATGACCTGGGAAGTGGGACGTGCACCCCCTGCCCGCGAAGTTCTCGGAGGTGAGGGGCAGCTCTGTAGACTCGGAATTACCTCGTCCCTCTTGGCTCCACTGAAGCGAGCGCCGGAAGCGGGGGGTGGCACAGAAATGCTACACATCCCTCCCAACGGGCCCTGGTCAGGACTCTGCCCAGTCCAGATCGTGTGACCTTGGGCAAATGACTCCCCTCGCCAAGCCTCAGTTTCCTCCTGTGTGCAGTGTGCATAATGGCTGCACCTAAGGCACAGGACTGCTTCAAATGCGCAAGGCAGAGCCTAGCCCGCAGCCAAGGCTCCCCACCGCCGGCTCGGACCCTCCCGGGTTCGGCAGGCCCGAGGCTGCCCCTCCGGGGAGCAGCCACCGCCCAGGCCTCTGCCTCGGGCCACGCGGGCCTCCCTGCCGCCACGCCCCAGGTCCCCAGGCCGCGCCGGCGGGCCGCACACAGACTAGAGGGTGTGCGGCCGGAGCTCCCCACCCCGCGGGCCCTCCAGACTCACCGGTGTAGTGCACCACGCAGGTCTGGCCGCGCTTCGGGAAGGTGCGCCCTGAGAAGACAGACACACAGACCGGCACGGTGAGCGGATGCGCGCGGCGGAGGCACCCCGGCCCACCGACGCCGCTACTCACCGTCTCCGGGGGAGATGGTCTCCACCTGCACTCCCATGGCGGCAGCGGACGCTGGGCGGGCGGCGAGGCGGGCAGCGTGGACCGAGAGCAGACCTGGCAGCGGTTCCGCGGCTCTGCTCGGCCCTCCGCGCGTCGCCTGCGCACGCGCGCGCCCCCGCACGCCCCGCCCTGCGTGCGCGGCCCACGCGGCGCGCACGTCCCGGAAGCCCCGGCCTTTGGGCAGGGGGACCGGAAGCCCGGAAGCCCCGAGGCCTCCGGATGCAGCCGTGTCTGGTGGACTGCCTGCCTCCGCCGTCCCGGTCCGCCTTTGTGCGTTTAGTCTGGCAGGCTCTGCTGCACCGAGTTTGTGGCTGTGCGAGGTGGGGGTAGTGATAGGGGGTCCTCCAGTTACGCGCCTTGAGCGCCCAGTTACTCATCCGGTGAAGAGGTGAGTTGGGAGGGGTCCGCGCACAGGTGGCGGCGTGGCCGCATTCCTTGCACGGTCAAGGGCCCCGGTGTTTACACTGCCTGGAGTGAAGCCTGACCTCTTTGCCCCGGTTTCATTGAGCGCGTGTGTTCCTCTTGAACACCTACTGGATGCCGTTGGAGCTCAAAGAACAATACCCCCCAACATGGCTTTATTTTGGGGCGTCCTAAACACTTCTAAAGGAAACGCTTGGGTTGCATCTGCCCACCCAAGATTGGGAGAGGCTCTCCGGATTCCCCTTATCTGCATGAGTATCAGACGGCAGAGGGAACCATTGGCTTCCACCCCGCACCCTGAAGTCCCATTATTAGCTCCGGAAAGAAGAAAGTAACCACACCTGGCGGCTTCCCTTATACCAAGCAACCTCTGTCCCCTGGGCTCATTCAAGGAGAATCTTCCTACCAGCTGCTCTCTCTCCCCTAGATGTCTCTCCCGCCCCAGTCATTCATAGTTCTTCAAAATTACCTACACTCCCCGTTCTCCCTACCGAAACCGGGTGGATAGCTCCATGAAGTTGGGGTCCTGAGTGGGCCATCGCACTCCTGTGCTTTTTTCTCCTATGCGGACTTCCCCCCCTTTTGCACAGTAGTTCTGGTGCCTTTCCTCCTGCTTAATCTCTGTCGGTGTATTGCAGTGAAGCTTGAGAGCTGGAAGGGAACTCTCCCTCCACCCCTACAGTGCCATGCCCTGTGCTAGGTTACACGAGTGACACAGATTCAGAACCTACTCCCAGTGTGGGCGAGGCAATCAGATGGCCACGCAGATCACTGGTCTTAGAGACAGTGACAGGTGGGGTCATCCTAGGGAGGCTGTGGAGTGGACGTGCTTGGCTTAGCCTACAGTGTGGTGAAATACTTCCTGGAATTAGCCAGGTTTAGCCAAATTCTGAAGACATTGACCAGCTGGGTGTGTGTGTGTTGGGGTTGGGAGAGTGAAAGGGGTAGCACAGGTACAGGCACAGTGACCCTGAGGGAGGTCACAGCACAGCCCAGGACTTAGGGGGCAGATGTGGACAGTCCTCCTGGGATCTCCCTCTATGCTCCTGTATTCAGGATTTTAAACACGACCCTAAAGTTCTTTGACAGTCTTCCTCTGCTCTCTGTCCCCTTCCCTAATTTCAGTGAACTAGTGAGTGCTTTGACATTTTTAAAATTTTTACTGGAATAGACCCCATATAACAGAAAGCAAACAGCGATGGTTGAAATGAGGCAGAGTCGCTGTTTCTCTCTCGTAACATCTGGAAGCAGAAGGTTCAATGCAGATAGAAATTCAGTCTGTCCGGGGCCCAAGCTGCTTCCACTTGTTCCTCTCCTTCCTGGGACCCTACTCAGGTGTGCATGGTCCAGGATGGTCCTCCAACGTGTTGCATCCCAACTGATATCGGAGATTACGACCTAAAATCTATATGAAAATGTGGCCCCTTAAAGTTCCCCAGAAGTGCCATCCAGGGTGCCACATGTTACCAGAATTTGGGGTGCCATACGATATCACCATACGCTTATTAATAAATCTCCAATATTAATAAGCTCCAGAGGTTTTTTTTTTTTTTTTTTTTGGACAGGCAGAGTGGACAGAGAGAGAGAGACACAGAGAGAAAGGTCTTCCTTTGCCGTTGGTTCACCCTCCAATGGCCACCACGCTCCGGAAGGTGCACCGCGCTGATCCGAAGCCAGGAGCCAGGTGCTTCTCCTGGTCTCCCATGAGGGTGCAGGGCCCAAGCACTTGGGCCATAGCAGAGAGCTGGCCTGGAAGAGGAGCAACCGGGACAGAACCGGCGACCCGACTGGGACTAGAACCTGTGTGCCGGTGCCGCAGGCAGAGGATTAGCCTATTGAGCTGTGATGCCGGCCTCCAGAGGGTTCTTGCTTAATGCTTAGAGAATTCTAAGTACTAGCATAAAAACAAGGCAGCATGGTACATTTTAAGCTTTTATTCTCGTGAGAGAAATCATAGGAGAGTGAGAACTTTATCAGAGAGAGAGAGGTAAATTTGGGTTCATACCGAGCACCAGGGACCAGCCACACGGAGGAGCATCTAGGCCAGGAAGCCTAGGGCGGGTGGCCCTGGGGGCGCAGGGCTACAGACAGCCACCTCCTGGCAAGAGGCCAGAGAATAGAAGAGAGAGACACACCATGTCCCAGGCTTTTAACCCACTTCCAAAGGGGAGTGGTTAATTAACTTGATTGGCCGGTGGGCACTCAGGTGTGGCCAGGTAGGAGCGTGAGCTCACACAGGGGCATGGCGAAGGCATGGCCTTCCAGCTCACACAGCTAACCGATTTTAACCTGTATGCCTGCCTGCTTCAAGGATGGGTGGGGAGGGAGGGGAGAGGAGTGGACGGTGAGGACCACATCCCCTTTCCTGGAAGAGCGTGACCTAGAAGTTGCTTCCTGCCCGCTTCCCTCCCTGATTACAGCCACACGGAGCTGCATGTCATCTTCGTTCTGGGCAGACTCATGCCCCGCTGAAAACCAGGGGTTCTGTGCCTGCAGAAGGGAAGCGTGGACACTGAGTTACAGTGAGAAGGGGGAGCCCCGCAGTTGCCAGGGCGCTGCGTCCCACCACTGAGAGAAAGTCAGACTGTGGAGTAGACGGGTGGTGGAGAAAGTGAGGAACCGCAGGAGGAGCTCCCTGCAGCCCAGCGGGCTGAGGCTCACCTCGGGCACTTGGCGCAGGACTCTGGATTGGGCGTCTGTTCAGGTGCAGAGCTGCCTTTGAGCATGGCTGTTTTAACCTGCAATCCACAAACTCAGACTGTTTACATCATGCTGGGGGGATGTTCCCTAGAACCCCATGTTTCTACCACTTCTTCCTCACACTTTGGGGGAAGGGGGGAAAGGATGGAGCTGCCACTTCAGACGTGAGTGGTAACGTGCAGCACAGACCTGGGGTGAAGCCCCCCAGGACTGAGATGTACCGGACTACACAAGGGGTACTTCTTAAGTGTTTGTGTGATATTTTAAAATAATCAAGAGGTTTTCTTTCCAAAATTTTTTTCTAAGATTTATTTATTTATTTGAAAGTCAGAGTTACACAGAGAAGGAGAGGCAGAGAAGAGAGAGAGAGAGAGGTCTTCCATTTGCTGGTTCATTCCCCAGTTGGCCACAACAGCCAGAGCTGTGCCAATCTGAAGTCAGGATCCAGGAGCTTTCTTCTGGTCTCCCATGCAGGGGCCCAAAGGCTTGGGCCATCCTCTACTGCTTTCCCAGGCCACAGCAGAGAGCTGAATCGGAAATGGAGCAGCCGGGACTCAAACCAGTGCCCATATGGGATGCTGGCACTGCAGGCAGTAGCTTTTCCTGCTGCGCCACAGCGCTGGCCCCTCCAAATTGGTTTTGATTCTCTCTTCATATGTATGTATAGCCTAGTTATGCAGTAATAATTATAACAATATTATGTGTTTAAATCTTTGGGAATTGTGCTTTAGCAAACAGAAGAACTGAAAACAGAAATAGTTACTGTTAAGAGGTAGGACTGGAAAAGAGGGCAGGAGATTCTGACTTCTCATTTGATACTATTCTGAACTAGCTGAGTTTATTTTTAGTCTATTATTTTATAAGACTCATTCCAGTCCAAGCTGTGGGCCTCCCTGATGACAGGGAAGTGACTGCTTCCTCACAGTCCTGAAATCTGAAAATTGGAGCTTGGATTTCGTTGACTTTATCCTGTTTACAGGTCACTCAGTTTTTGAACCTGTAAGATTTTGGGGTTTGTGTGTGTGTATTTTTACAGATTTATTTGTTTATTTGAAATGCAGAGTTTACAGAGAGAGAGAGGGAGAGACAGAGAGAGAGAGATCTCCCATCTACTGGTTCACTCCTCAAATGGCCACAACGGCCGGAGCTGGGCCAATCCAAAGCCAGGAGCTTCTTCTGGGTCTCCTACATGGGTGCAGGAGCCCAAGGAGTTGGGCCATCTTCCACTGCTTTCCCAGGCACATTAGCAGGGAGCTGGTTTGGAAATGAAGCAACCAGGACTCAGCCGGCTCCCATATGAGGTGCCGGCACTGTAGGTGGCAGCTTTACCTGCTACACCACAGCGCCGGTTCCTCCAGGGTTTTTCAACATGTGCTCTAGGCATTTTGTCCAGATTTTGTAGGTAGATTCATTGGGAGGAACAGGGTGCAATGTACTTACTCCATCTCACATGAGGCAGGCCCTATCTCCTTTGACATTTAAAACATTTCTCTGGGACTGGCATTGTGGTGCCAAAGGTTGAGCCAGCTTTTGGAATGCCAGCATCCCATATCAGAGTGCTCCACTTTCAATCCAGCTCCCTGCTGATGCATCTGGGAAAGCAGCCAAAGATGGCCTGGATGGAGTTCCTGGCTCCTGGCTTTAGCCTGCCCCTACCCTGGCTGTTGAAACCATTTGGGGAGTGAACTAGTATATGAAAGATCTTAATCTCTTTCTGTCTCTCCCTTGCTCTCACTCTTTAAAATAAAGAAATAAATCATTTTTAAAGAACCAAATAAATAAAAATTTTAAAAGACCTCTTTCCAGAGGTGGAGGGGGAAAATGACAAAGCTTGTTTAAAATGTTAACAGTTGGGGAATCTGAACGAAGGCCATA